TAGGAAGGGGGACACAAGAAAACTGTAGGAAATCAATCCATACTATCTAAACTCTCAGTGTTTTTAAAAATAGCATAACATTATTAACTTCTCATTGTTTTCCCAATATTTATTTCTTGCTAGAGGGACCTCCTTCTAGGACTATTTCTTATGGGAAGATATCTGCCATGTGACATCCACCAAATTCAGCAGTCTCTTTTTTTCTTCATAAAAATTCAATTTATTAAGTAGTATGTGCTACATATAGGCTACCTCCCCCACATCCTCATGTAATCCCCAAGGTGCTGGGATTTGGAGGTGGGGCTTCTAAGAGGTGCTTAAATCATGAGGGTGGAGCCTTCATGAATGGGATTAGTGACTTCTTTAAGAGGCTCCAGAGAGCTCCCCTGCCTCTTCCGCCAAGTGAGGACACAGTGAGAAGCTGGCCTTTTGTGAACCAGGGAGCAAACCCTCACCAGGCACTGAATCTGCCAGTGCCTTGATCTTGGCTTCCCAGCCTCCAGAAATGAGAAATGTTTATAAGCATGTCTACGGTATTGTGTTAGCAGCCCAAACTCAAGACCGTATGTAAATTATCCCATTAAACAATTTCTATCTAATCTCCTGTCATTCTATATAGTGAGATGTCTGCAATTATGTTCACCAATTGCCAGCGGTAGTCTCTTGGTGGTGGGATTTAGGGAGATCTTACTTTTTTTTTTCTTTCTACAGTGCTTGGATCTTTTGTAATAAACATATATCCTTCCATAAAAACAAGTCATCTCTTTCAAAACAATGTAAGATCTGGATTAAATATTGCAAAATGGTATCTAGCATCTATAATCTTAGTGATAAATAGATCCAGGCCATGTTACTTTCTATTCTTTGAACTATTTCAAAGTTTAAAATAAATTTAAAACACCTGAGGTGAAGCACAATTTGCAGAGGACACAGAAAGTGGATGTCCACATTAAGGAACTAATGAAACAGAACATGGCCAACTGGAGACAGCAAATTATCACTAAGTCCTTTAACCTCAGCTTTGAAACTTTCTAGTATCCATAATCTTCTCATTGTTAGTTGGAGGCCAGAGACTGGTTGGAAGTGATCTGAGAAAACTGTAGGAAAAATACCCAAAGAAAATATGCCTCCTGGTGGTGGCCTTACCAGCAGTAATTCTCCTGCTTCCCAACCACACTTTTTTGTACTGTTCTAAATTACGTACTTGGATAATCAGGAAAATCAGTTAAAAAGATTTTATGTCAATATTGCTTTAATGCAGGACAGAGGCCCATATCTGTTCGGCCACAAAGCCCGGGCAGGGCAGTGCTGCGCACAGAGCACGTGTTCAGTGAAAGATGCACTGTTTGCGCTCATTTCCCCGCCTCTCCTTGGAGCAGGGCTCAGCTAAGACATGATAAATGGATCAGCAGCCTAGGGAGGGGAGATGGGCCTGGGTATTCCTGCCTCCCAAACAAGCACTCAATGCACACACTTTTGGTCAAAATTAGTAAACTTTATTTAAACTTCAAAAAATAAAATAACAGACAAAAGGCAGCTTTAGCTTTGTTCTTCCCGAGAATCAGATGTAACAACCAGAGCAGGAACTACCCCTAAGAAGTTAAAATACCCTTTACCCCCCAATCAAGCCACAGGCAAGAAGGGATCCTTGATTTGGGGACAGGCCTGGGTTAGGGGCCAGGAAGGAGAACACCACAGCT